CCTCTGGGCTGACGTACAAGGCCCTAACCTACACCCGTGAGCTCTGCAAAGTCAAACCCGAAACCCTAACCCTAAACCCTAAACCCTAAACCCTAAACCCTAAACCCTAAGCCCTAAACCCTAAGCCCTAAACCCTAAACCCTAAACCTCTGCAAAGTCATCATGTTAGAACCGAAGCTGTCCCGACAACCTCCTTACGGAGACGCCTCGATGACGCCAAACGGATCCAAAGCCACCTGCAGATTGCAGGGTTTAGGGTTTATAGGGTTATAGGGTTATAGGGTTATAGGGTTATAGGGCTATAGGGTTATGGGGTTGTAGGGTTATAGGGTTTAGGGTTTAGGTCTTCAGGGATTTTGGGGGTCATCTATAACCAGGGGACTTGTAGCTCAAGCTCTGCCCGAAACCCTAAACCACAAACCCCAAACCCCTGCGGCCTAAACCCCAAAAAAACTGCTTGCGTCTAGGGCGCTGTAGACGTTCAGGTTTGCAATGTTCAGGGTGTACCGAGTCTATGGGGCCTTGGGCTTGTTTTGGTATAGGGCAGGGTTTAGGGCTTGGGTATTAGGGTTTAGGATTTCGGGCTACACTTGCTGAACCTCAGCCAGTGGACTACGTCCTTTACTCAAATGTTCCCCAACTCCCCAAGCCTGAACCCAGAAAACACCTACACACCCCGAAAGACCTGACGCCCTAGCCCCCCAAACCCCCAGAACCCGTGTCCCCCTCCATGCACCTCGCGTAGCCGGCCCTCATAGTGAAGGCCTGGGTTGCTGCAAATTGGAACCTTTTTGTTCTTTCAAGCTTGGGGTAGGGGTTGGGGTTAGGGTAGGGTCTGGGGGAAGATACTGGAATATGCCTTAAACCCTAAAACCCACACACTTGCCTGATTCTGGAGCTGAATGTTAAGCTAGACGTGGTACCTTGGGCCCGAAACCCTAAACCCTCCTCCCCTAAACACTAATCCCAAAACTCTACTTAAACCCAAAGCCCTAAGCCCTAAACCTCAAACTAAGCCAATCACCCTGAACAAAGATGTAAAGACTCAAGCATAGACCCGAAAAACTAAACCCTGCACCCTCCACAAAGCCTATAGACCCTAAACCCTATAAAGAATAAAACCTCAAACCCAAACCCTTATACTCTAAACCCCGTACACGAAACCCCAAAACCCTAAACCTAAAGCCTTAAACCCCGCAAACCAAGCCCAAATAACCTAATACCCCATTGACTAAACCCCAACACCCTACACCCTACACCCTAAACCCTAAACCCTAGCCCGAAACCCAAGCCCCGAGCCCTAAACCCTAAACCCTAAACCCTGGACAGCATCCCCAGAGGCGTTTCCGTGGCTCCAGGGAGCGTAGCGCAGTCTCCTGCGTAAGAGGGATTTTGGTGCTTGGGTTTAGAGCTTAGGGTTTAGGGTTTGGGGTTTAGGGTTAGGGTTTAGGGTTAGGGTTTAGGGTTTAGGGTTTAGGGTTTAGGGTTTAGGGTTTAGGGTTTAGGGTTTAGGGTTTAGGGTTTAGGGTTTAGGGTTTAGGGTTTAGGGTTTAGGGTTTAGGGTTTAGGGTTTAGGGGGGAGTGGGCGTTCTAGGAGTCTAGGGTTGGTTTGGGGCTTTAAGGAGTTAGGGTTGAGAGGCTGAGGGCTCTGGGAGTTGGGGATTAGGGGTTCCCTTGTTCTTGCGCGTTGGCCGAAGAAACAGCGGCACCAGATTTAGAGGACTTCATGGCACGAGGGGGTTCCCTAACCCGAAAACCTACACCCCCAAACCCTAAACCCTAAACCCTAAACCCTAAACCCCAAACAACGCCCAGCAAAAATCCTCGGAGACACCAAGACCCACAACCCCCCCAAAGCCCAGAGAGGGCTCCGTTGGCTGGTGCATGATCTCCGGATGATTGAAGGTCGTCCGAAGGTCGCCTCCATCGGATAGGGTTTAGGGTTTAGGGTTTAGGGTTTGGGGTTTGGGGTTTGGGGTTTGGGGTTTGGGGTTTAGGGTTTAGGGTTTAGGGTTTAGGGTTTAGGGTTTAGGGTTTAGGGTTTAGGGTTTAGGGTTTAGGGAGGGGTCGGTCACCATCGGACAACTTGGCGATCTGCCCTAGGCTTTGTCGCCTTGTCAAATGCTCTATAGCTGCATATACAGCTGCACAAGTGCCTACCGTTTGTTGGGCGGCATCTTGTACTTGCACTTCGGAGCTTTGACCTACGAGTTTCAGCCCTAAACCCTCCCAAAAACCTGAACCCTAAACCCTAAACCCGAAACCCTAAACCCTAAACCCTAAACCCTGCCAACACACGTGCCTATCTTGCTCCGGAGCTGCGGCTCAATCTCAGCAGATCGCTGTGGCCGAGGCGGGTCCAGCTGCCTGGCAATCTACTGGGTTTAGGGTTTAGGGTTTAGGGTTTAGGGTTTAGGGTTTAGGGTTTAGGGTTTAAGGTTTAAGGTTTAAGGTTTAGGGTTTGCATAAGAACGCCCCCCCCCCCCCCCCCCCCCCCCCCTTCCACCCTTTCACTCCCCCCAAAAAAAGATATATTACACATGCATAAACTTCAGAAATATTCTTCCCTATAAGGCAAAGTCTATATAGGGTTGAGTTCCTTAAATTTTAGTATCCAAACATGAATGCCTATTTCCAAGTACCCCTAGTTGAGGTGTAGGATGAGAGAGGTTCTTGGCGTAGGGCTTGCGGCTTGGGGTTTGGGGGGGGGGGGGGGGGCTTGGTTTTTCGTTGGGTTTTTTTGGGAAAGCGGTCGACTCTCTCAGGGCGAGGCGGTTAAGTGCTTAGGGTTTACAGGGGGTGTGCTACAAGAAGTTGAGGTGTACCTTAAGCCATACCAACCCTTCAACCCCATGAACCCTCAACCCTATAAACCCTACAAACCCTATAAACCCCATAAACCCTAGAAACCCTATAAACCCTATAAACCCCATGAACCCTAGAAACCCTATAAACCCTGTAAACCTATAAACCCTATAAACCCTATAAACCCAATAAACCCTATAAACCCTATTAACCCTACAAACCCTGAACCGGCCGCAACGCCTCAAATAGTCCACGTGCTGCTGTAGGGCTCGCTGACGAATGAGGTTGAAACGGTTCTTGCCTCAACATGGCGTAGTGCACTTGGAGGTTCATTGGGGTACTTAGAAGTAGGGTTTCGAGCACCCCCTAAACAGGCAGTAGCTATCCCTAAACCTAAACCCCAAACCCTAAAACCTACTCAGATACCTGTCCATTAGCACCCACCAAGTACCCCGAAACACCACCGTGGAGTCTTCGGCTGTGGAATTAGACTAGGGGGTCAGGTTAAGGGTTAAGGGTTAAAGGTTAAAGGTTAAGGGTTTAGGTGAAATATGAATCCTAAGAAGCCCCATGTGAGCGCCTGCCGCAAGACTCATCCGATCACCCCCCTCCCCAGCCTACGAGTACCGACTTTGCCTGTAAGTCTAAGAAAAGGGAAAGATAGGCACGCAACAAAGGAACTAGAGTCAAGGGTTTAGGTAGGGCTTGGGCAGTGAAATTTCGGTCTTAAGGTTTAGCGGCAAGTCCCAGATCCTGAAATGGCCAGGATTCCTGGTCGGCGGTCTATAAACCCTAACCCTAAACCCTAAACCCTAAACCCTCAACCGTCCCCCGAACTCGAGGAGCCTTGTTCTCTATACAGACGGCGTGGCTGCAGGCACGCCCAGAGTCTTGCCGGGCGAAGGTTCGGCTGTCGCAGCATGGCCACCAACCCAAGCCCTAAACACTAAACCCTAAACCCCAAACCCTAAACCCTAAACCCTAAACCCCGATAATCTTTGGAGTTTCAGGTTACCCTAAACTCAGTCCGAAGCGGCAGCTCTGCAACCACCAGTTGTGGGTTTAGGGTTTAGGGTTTAGGGTTTAGGGTTTAGGGTTTAGGGTCTGGGGTTTAGGGTTTAGGGTTAAGCCGTCACGTGAAGCAGTCACAAGTACGGCGCTGTAGAACTGTAGACTTGAGCAAGGCTTGCCTCCCAGGCCCTCGAAGCCCTCCGAAAAATACTACATTAGGGTTTAGGGTTTAGGTTCTCTTGACTCAATATGCGCCAATGCAAATTCTGCAGTGCTTTTGCCTCATGGTGCCATATCGTGAAACTTGTCAGGACTGGAGGTTAGGGTTGATGTAGGGTGGTTGCGACACCTCGTCTCATGGATCGCGGCTCACTTGAGGACTGCCGGCAGGTCAGGCACAACGCTGCTACGAAGCAGGCTCATGCGTTTTATCGCCGCAATGTGACCACAAAAAGGGGGGGATGGAGCACCCCAACACTCCAACCCCTAAACCCTAAACCCTAAACCCTAAAAGACTCTAAACAGCTTGTAGCGTAAAATCCTTCAACCCTAAAAGGTGGTTTTGCTCTTGGCTTCTTGTGAGTCTCAGCTCTGGGTTCTAGGGTTTAGGGTTTAGGGGGTATTCTGTGGACTTGGGCTTCTGAAAGGCCAGAAGTCTCTCAAGAGCCCTAAACCCCAAACTCTGGAACCCCAAAAGGGCGTTTTGCAACTCCAATCCCAAACCGTCTATTGTCCAACTCCTCGTCGAAGATAAGAACTCGATCTGAGATCCTTCTACCACGCGCAAATTACTAAAAACTGCCTCTGTTTTCTTGAGGGCGGGGGGGGGTTCAGGGATTTAATGTCGCCTTATAACCTCTATTGGAAGGTTCATGGGGTACTTAGAAGTAGGCTTATAGGTATCCTTAATGAGGTGAAAACCATAGACGCCCTACCTAAAGGCCCTTAAGAACCTTGCGGAAGCTTAGGGAGCCTATTTATAACCCTACTTGCAGATACCCTGCTTTGGGCCGCAAAAAGCCGGACAGGATGATAAGCATAATTACCGCGCCCCAAGCCCCAAGCCCTAAGCCCTAAAATCAAACCCTAAACCCTAAACCCCAAACCCTAAACCCTAAACCCTAAACCCTAAACCCCAACCCCAAACCCTAAACCCCCAATCCGAGTAGGCTCCAGAGTCGGTCCTTCTTGGCAGTCCTGGGCCGGAGCTCCTGAGGGTTTAGGGTTTGGGGTTTAGGGTTTAGGGTTTAGGGAGTTCGGGCTTCGCTGCCAGGGGACCCCGAACCGAGTTTAGGTTTCGGGTTTAGGGTTTATGGCTTGGGATTGTTGGATTTAGGGTTCTTTTTTCGGCTTTCAGGTATGGGGTTTAGGGATCTCGAGCTGAGGGCTGACTCGGGCTTTGAGGTTTGCGCTTTTAGGATCTACCCGGTTGCCCAGCAACCTGAGCAAGGGTGCTATTTTGGGGTTTAGGGTTTTTGGGTTTGGGGGCTTAAGGCGGGTGCTCTTAAGGTTCTTAAGGTTTCTGAAGCTCACAACCGCAAGGATTCTCATTCTACTGGGTCTTAACTGCCCTAAACTCTAAACCCTTGTGGTTTAACGCCTCCACGGTAGGACAGAGGACCAGTTCTGTTCAAGGCCTGCAGCTTTGCAGCAGCGTTGGGTTCAAGATTTGAAGGTTTCTTGAGCTCTTGGGCATCAACAAGGCGTATAGCAAGGGCCCATTGAGAGGCACCACATGGCGCCCCGAATCTTGCATGATCCGTTCAGAACTCCTCAGAGTAGGACTCATCAGACTCATCCGTGCTCCTTGTACTGAATCTTCCTGATGCATCCTTGTCCTTGATGTTCATCCCTAATCCCTAAACCCTAAACCCTATCAACTCCTCCAGCTGTTGGCCTCATTGTACCATGGTGGTGATCTCAGGCATCCGGAGTCTGCTTTGAGAGGCCCTGGTGTCACCTCTCACAGGCGGTTTAGGGTTTAGGGTTTAGGGTTTAGGATTTAGGGTTAGGGCTCTGTTAGCATGGTGCTCCCTGGCTTGGCTGAGACAGGATCTAGCCTCCAAGGTCATTGGCCCGTTGATGTAGGTGGGGCGCCAGACCCCTAAACCTCCCCCCCCCCCCCCAACCCCACATCCCCACACCCACCCTAAAACCGTAAACACCCTAAACCCTAAACCCTGAACCCTAAACCCCAAACTTTAAACCCTAAGCCGGGCCTCCGTCCGCGCCCTCCGCAGCCAAGCAGCTTGGGCCTCCATTCGCTCCTGCTTTAGGGTTTGGGGCTTTAGGGTTTAGGGTTTAGGGTTTAGGGCTTAGGGCTTAGGGTTGAGAGTGCTTTGGCTTTAGCGACTCAGAGGGACTTTTAGGGGGGCTTAAGGCTTGAAGTGTATAAAGTTCCGCTTCCCCCGCGTACTCCCACCCCCCGGATCACCTCTGCGTTTCAATTTTAAGCCCTGGACTTCCAAACCCGCAGACCCAAAACCCCTAAACCTCGACAGTTTCTGACCCCCCAAGCCCCTGCTACCCTAATCCCTACTGGGAGGGAGGTTCATGGGTAGTTAGATTGAATTAGGGCTATAAGTAGGGTAACTATGGCGATTACCTTGTTTAGGGTACTTATACCCCCCTAAACCGTAAACCTTGAACCCCAAACCCTAAACCCTAATCCCTAAACCCTGGCTCCTTCTCCCGCTTCTGAAGCTCAGGATCTTTCCCCTTCTTTGGCTTCTCTTGGGTCGAGCTTGTGCCCTGAGGAGGCTTCCCAGGGGGAGTTTCGGGGTTTGGGGGTTTAGGGTTTGGGGTTTAGGGTTTCGGGGTTTTGGGGTTTAGGGGTTTAGGGGCTTAGGAATTAGGGATTTAGGTTTAGGGATTTCGGGTTTAAGGATTTGGGGTTTAGGACTTTGGGTTGTGTAGGGTTTAGGGTTTAAGGGTTCGAAGAGCTTAGGAAATGGGGGTTAGGGGTTTATGGCTTAGTGTTTGGTTTAGGTTGTGGGGATTTATAGGGACTAAACGTTTAGGGTTTACGGATTCAAGGTTTCTTGGGCTTAAGGTCCCGGAATCCCATGGTCCCTAACAAGCCTTTCTGGGGAGAAGGTCTGACGGCCTGGTCCCCATCCTTGACAAAGGCAGGATGTTGCTCGTCCAGCCGTCCCATCCTATACTCGAAGGCAGAGCAACCGGTGAGGAAGACTTCCTGAAACATAAATTCGAAATCCCTAGCCCTAAACCCTAAACCCTAAACCCTAAACCCTAAACCCTAAACCCTAAACCCTATAAGCCCTAAATCCCCAGACCTGAGCTCAGGGAAGGGGCATCCCGCCTCTTCCGTGTCTGGCTGCCTGATCGGGATTGGGGGGGGGGGGGGGGGGGGGGAGGTTTAGGGTTTAGGGTTTAGGGTTTAGGGTTTAGTGTTTAGGGTTTAGGGTTTAGGGTTTAGCGTTTAGGGTTTAGGGTTTAGGGTTTATGGTTTAGGGTCTAAGGTTTATGGCTTAGACGGGGGGCGGGAGGGTGGGGAGGGGCTAGGGGTTAGCGTTGAGGACTCAGGGTTTAGGGTACACCCCATGTACATGTCAAAGTGCATTTGCTTCATGCAATTTGAGCTTGGCATTCCCAACGTTTAGGCAAAAAAGAAACCCTGAAACCCTGAACCCCAAGCCCTAAGCCCCAAGCCCAAAACCCCAAAAACCCTAAACCCTGAACCCTAAACCCAAACACAAAAATAGTGAGAAAAGAAGCAACAACCTTGACAACAAGAGGGCCTGGCATGTGGGAGCTTCAAGCCATGGAGGTTCCTGGGTACTTACAACTATATGGTTATAGACTGGGATGTTCCCTTTACACGCACAGCTCCTTCATAGGGATTTTAATATAAGGGGGGGGGTACTTGAATCCCTATTAAGGATTGTTTGGGGGAGCATCCCAAGTTATAAATCTTATTTAGGGAGTTTGTCACCCCACTTTAGAGTAACCATGATTTTTTCAAGCAACTCCCTAGACCCTTCAGCAAAGGTGATGCCCTTGGCCGAGACCAAAAGTTTTACCATTCGACAGCTAGATGGTTGGGGCTTTCCGAAAGTCGGGTATTCCATCGACACCCCAAGCTACATTCCTCCTTAAATTGTCACAAAAGGGAACTACATGTCACCAACTCTAAGCCGGCTGACCCTAAACCCTAAACCCTAAACCCCAAACCCTAAACCCTGAAACCCAAACCCCAAACCCCTAAACCCGAACCAGGCCCCAGATGATGCTGTGCCTTGTTCCAGCGTCTGGAGGCTTCTTTGAGCCTGCAGTTCTCTGGTGTGACGATTTCGGGCTTATTCTGACCGTTTGAGGAGCCTGCAGTTCTCTGGTGTGACGATTTCGGGCTTATTCTGACCGTTTGAGGAGGTTGAAGCATAGGGTTTAGTGTTTAGGGTTCAGGGGGATCCGCTCGGTTCTAGGGCTTGGGGCTTAACACTTAGGGTTTAGGGCTTCTAGGTTTTGGGGTGTATGGGCCCTGGTTCAGGTTTTGGGGTATGCTAAGTAGAGGCAAGCGCCTGGTGACTCAAACCACAATCTGGGGTTTAACAAACTCAACCGAAAAAGAGACTGAGACTGAATCCTTACAAGATGCCCCCCCCCCCCCCCCGCCAACAAAAAAAAACGAACTCAAATTTAGAGAACTACCCAGGTGTCTCAGTCGTTGGAGGGCTAAAGCTTGTCACGTCGGGTTTCAGGGGCTCTGAGGTGTGGGGTTCAGGGTTGAGGGTTTTGGGACCAGGGCTTTCCTGAAACCCTAAACCCCCTAACGTGGGTCCGAGGTGCGCTCAGCTCCCTTGCAAAGGTTTTGGCACCAAGAGGGCGTTGTGTAACCCTATGGTTTCGGGTTAGGGCTCCAAGCATACACGTAATGTAAGTTTGGGAATACCTGCTTACTTTGGGATATTTGTAGGGGCTTACAAGGCCACAGACAGAAGGCAATGCCGGTGCACCTTCGTGTGCTGGGTGCGGCTGGGCTGGCGAAGGGGGAGGCCTTCACATGCAGCTCTTATACTTGAAGGTTCATGGCACGGGTACTTCTAACCCCAATTATAAGTCCACTTATAACCTACTTGGAGGACTTGAGGGACTACGGGGGCTTAGAAGTACAGTGATAATTGGGGGGTTATAAGTATCCTGAACCTCCAAGTAGGCTTTCGGCGAAAAAAACCTCGAGGGCTTTTAGGGCGGCTTACTTGAAGGCGTATGGGTCCTTGCAAGTAGGGTTATATAAGTTCCCCAAACAATGTTTTTGCCACAGGTACCCTACTAAGACCCCTATCTGTAGGTACCCTTTTTGGACCTCCAAGAGGGGCTTCCGGATTTAGGGCTTAAGCACGGGGGACTTGCTCAACTGCCAGCCCTGCCGGTGAACCGAGCCAAATCTGGGATGGCCTGAAACCATCTCCAGTTTAGGGCTTGGGGTTTGGGGTTTAGGGCTTCGGGCTTAGGACTTAGGGTTTAGGGTTGAGGGATCCTCTACAAGGGAATTAGAGCAGACGCAAGAAATCCCGAAGTCTTGCCTGCCCAGAATTACGATGAGCCATCGCTAGTTCGATGTCGAGCCCTCTCCGCACTCGAAGGCTTCTTCAGGGACCGGATGGAACTTGACATGATTTGCCTCTCCAATCTCAAAGGTAGGGCTCTTAATCCATGAAGGAACCACCCTAAACCCTAAACCCTAAACCCTAAGTAGCCCTAAACCCCAAACCCTAAACCCTAAACCTTTGTTGTATTAATTTCCGTCCCCTCCCACAAGCAAAGCCTCCTCGCGGTGCCGTCGGCTTCCCGCGGCTTCACTGAGCCTCTTCAGGGCCGGCTGTTGGGCTATAGGGTTTGTAGGGTTTAGGGTTTAGGGCTCTAGGGCTATAGGGTTTAGAGTTTAGGGTTTAGGTTAGGGAAAGGTTTAAGAGCTGTGGAGGATTTATCATGGGACTTACTGAGCAGGTACAAACTAGAATTAGAAGTGCCCAAAAATGAGCCCTGACTAGGGCTATCCTTAGCAACGGCCGGTAATTGAAAAGCGTGAAAGGTTTCAGGCTGTTCAGGGTTTGGGTATGAGTGTCTACGATGGCTTGGAGGTATTCAGGCATAGGAAGGGCGGTATGTGTTTCAGGATATCGGGGTTTCTGGCCTTTGCTGCAAGCTCCCCGGAAGAGACGCGGCAAAAAACAGCTTGGTGTCTTGTCAGACCAAGAACCCCAAGCCGCAACCCTCAAACCATGAAACTTAGCCTGAAGTTTCACCAAGGCCCCTGACTCAGGGATGTTTCTCAAGCCCAAACATAAAATTTAGGGTTTAGGCTTTGGGGTTTAGGGTTTAGGGTTTGGGTTTACGGAACACAGGCTCCATAATCTTCAGAGAATGCTCAAGAAGGGATTCCTTTCGGGTGCACAGAACGATTCTCTTCAGCTACCAGCCCTGGGTTCCTAAGCCTGTGTTTGGCTCTGGGGTTTAGGGTTGCGGGTTGAAGCCCCCGTAAACCCTAAACCCTACACCCTAAACCCTAGAGCCTAAACCCCAAACCCTAAACCCTAGACCGTAAAGCCTAAACCCTAAACCCTAAGCCCTAAACCCTACATACCTGAAATCACCTTCTTCCCGCCTGGCGGGGGACGTGCGCAGGCGGCTGCGGGGCGCGGCCTTGTCGCACACGGTTCGAAACAGGAGGTTAGGGTTTTGGGGTTTTGGGTTTTGGGTTTTGGGTTTTGGGTTTTGGGTTTTGGGTAAAGGGTATAGGGCTTAGGGTGTTTAGGGTTTAGGACGCAGCAGGCGAAGCCTAAACCCAGCGCCCCGAAAGCGCACAGAAACCCTGAACCCATACAACATACAAAGCCTTCTGGGTCCTCTCTGCCCTCCTAAGGTCAAAACGACCCATGAGCCGCCCTGTAAGTTAGGGTTTAGGGTTTGGGGTTTAAGTTGTAGGGTTTCGGGTTTAAGGTTTTAAGGGGTTAAGATTTAGGGTAGAAAGGGTTTAGTGTGTCCTAACATGTGAGACATGCTCAGCCTGAGGTCCGGGCCCCTCCCAGAAACGACTTCCATCCGTGAAGCTCGCTGGCCTGCGCTTTTTCTCAGGTCGAGCCCAAAAGTCCTGAAACCACGACTACAGCTTTTTTGGGGTGTCTTGGGGGGGGGGGGGGGGGTGTCTGTAAGGTATCTCAAAAGGAGCTTTGAGTTCTTAGGGTACTTGGGCTTGGGAAGGGGGTTATAGCGATTTCTTTCAGGAAGCTGAACATATAAAGGGCTTCTAGGGCAATTACCCAGCGAGCCCAATACCCAGTAACTCGTAATTAAGGAATACACCGTAACTCATATGTACGGATCCTGAATATGATTTAAGGTATATCCCTTATTTCAGGGGTATTGGGCTCTTTGGGTAGTTTAGGCTTGGGGCTTAGGGTTTGGGGCCTTCCGAGCTTCGTTGTTGTGAACGGCTCGAGGGTTCAAGCTTCAAGGCTAGAAGCCCAGACCCTAAACCCTAAACCCTAAACCCTAAACCCTGAACCCTCAAGCCTAAACCCGAAACCTGCATAACTGACAGGAGGCTGGAGATGCACTGTGAGGTCCAGAACCTCTTTCAACCCTAAACCCTGAAACGAGCTTCGGAACCTAACAAAACTTAGTTGCTGAGTTCATAAGCCCCCCCCCCCCCCCCCCAAAAAAAAAAGTGTACACTTGCAGTCCTACAAGGGATTGTAGTATCCCAAAAAGTGTAAAGTGTGCTCACTCAGCTACTAAGATCATAGAAGCACCAGACCCCGAAGTAACCCTCAGGGTGCAGATCCTTCAGTAACCTTCAGTCTTCACCCTACTAATGTATGGCATATATATATATATTTATATTTATTTATTTATTCATTCATATAGTATGTATAATATAGTGGCAACAGCAATCATAACGAGAAGAATAAAAAAACAAACTATGGATGATATGAACATGTGTGCATATCAATATATATATATATATACACATACATATATAGAATCAGATATAACATGTGCCATGCCCTAAACCCTAAACCCCAAACCCTAAACCCTAAGACCATATAACATACGTATATAAACGACCTTCAGAGCGCTGACACCCTGCCAGGCCTCTGCGGATACGCCTCGCGCGCATCTAGAGCATCGAGGGCTTGAGGTTTCTTGCCCTATGCACCCTGCCACAAGGCCCTACTTGAAGGTTCAGGGTTTAGGGTTTAGGGTTTATGGGTTTGGGTTTAGGGTTTAGCGTTTAGGTTTAGGGTGTAGGGTTTAGGGTTTAGGGTTTAGGGTACATATAACCCAACTATAAGTGTAGTGATAACCCACTTATAAGCCCCTGAAGTGCCCCAACAGGGTTATACTTGAAGGTTCATGGGTGCTTTTAAGTAGGGGTATCGGTATGTATCCTCAATATGGTTGCAAGGGGCTTAGGGCTTCGGGTTAGGGCTTTAGTGTTTGCCCTTCGACCTCCCAGAAAGCTCTGTACTATCGTCTGTAGGGTTCAGGGTTCACACAGGGTTTAAGTTTTAGGCTTACATTTAAAGGGCTTAGGGGTCTTCGAACTCACTAGATCGGTACAAGTCATCCCTTCTGGGAATTTGACCCTGAATAGCACCATTAACGTACACTTAGGCCCTTCTGTAAAAGGGGTCCCTCCAGCCCGAAACGTGCAGTGGGCTCGGGTACCTGGATCTCTTATGGTAAGTTTAGGGTTTGGCTTAGGTTTTAGGGTCTAGGTTTGTATGAATCAGCCATGGTTGGCATTTTCATGCAAAACACAACGCTGGGACAAACGCTCGATCTTGTAGAAGAAAAACTGAGAATCTGTCGCTTCCTTTGGCGCCCAAATGTTGTTGAATACCAAGCGATACAAGAGCTATCCCATCAGGCTCGCTATACAACCCAGAAGCCTTGTGAGGCATGGTCTTTGGGTCCCAACAAACCTACCAAAACAATCGCCCCTACTATAGCCAGAGGCCGAAGGGTCTTCCAGCGCCCATGAAACATCCCTGAACTCTTTGGTGGGCCGAAGAGGATTAAACCCCAAAACCCTAAAACCCGAAAACCCCTCCTCTGAACCCTGAACCCTGCACGCCAAACCTGACCCTAAATCCTAAACCCTAAACCCTAGACTCTAAACCCTAAACCCTAAACCCTAAACCCTACCCCTAAACCCAAAACCCTACCCCTAACCCATAAACCCTGTACCCTACACCCGAAGCTCTCAACCCTGCCGCGATCCTGGGTGGCACGATCCTTGGGCGCTGCGCTGCGGTCCACGCTCCCTGCCTTGAGGTTCGGCGGCCAGAAACCAGGACCTGGCAAGCAGGTGTTGAGGTTTAGGGTTTAGGGTTTAGGGTTTAGGGTTTAGGGTTTAGGGTTTAGGGTTTAGGGTTTAGGGTTTAGGGTTTAGGGTTTAGGGTTTAGGGTTTAGGGTTTAGGGTTTAGGGTTTAGGGTTTAGGCTTTCGGACATAGGGGCTGAGGGTTTAGTTTAGTAGGGTTATCGATTCTAGTAACCTGCCTCAGGTCATGACCATCGTTGCCCTGCTTCTAGCACAACAGGGTTACTAGACCCGGGAGTAACCTAGGAATAAACAGGGTGCCCTTTTTGGTTTCAAGGGGATTAAAGGAAAAGAAGGCCTACTCCCGGTCCTAGCTTAATGGTTTAAGATTTACGCGTTTAGAGTTTAATCGGGCCTGCGGAGAGGCCTAAAGTAGGCAAAGCAGGACGACTTTAGAGCCACCCCTAAACCGTAAACCCCTAAACCCTAAACCCTACACCCCACACCCCAAACCCCAAACCCCAAACCCCAAACCCTAAACCCTAAACCCTAAACCCAAGCAGGGTTCGTTTGGGAGCCCTAGGATGGGAGGGCCCAGGGTTTCTAGGGTTCTACCTTGGACCCTTAAGGTGGTACCCTTCATTAGGGTTTAGGGTTTAGGGTTTAGGTTTCAGGTTTTAGGGTTGAGGGGTTCTACCTTTGACCCTTTAGCTCGTGCCCTTGGGTTTTGGGGTCCCTGTTTAAGGATCCCTAGGGGAGTATAAGGTGCGTATTAGGAGTATATAAAGGGGGATGTTTAGGGGTACAACCTTAGGGGTATGAGTCTTCATCCCTTGAGGGTTTGCAAGCTTAAAGGAATGTAGGGGATCACATGATTCATATAGCAGAACGGGTCAGGGCGAAAAGGGGTCTAGGGTCTAGGGTTTTGGGTGTAGCTCTCAAGCAGCGCAATCTGACCGCCCCCCCCCCCCCCCTGCCCCAAAACAAGCAAGTTGCCGCGAAACCCTCAACCCTCAAGCCTCAACCCTAAACCCTAAACCCTAAACCCTGAACCCAAACATTCCCATCGCGCGCGGCCTTCGTCGCTGGCCGCAGCTCCCTGGACGCTGCCGGCACCGGCGCGGCCCTCGACGCTTCCACTGCGGCCAGTGCCGGCCTGCAGGTGAATGGCTTGGGGTTTAGGGTTTAGGGGTTAGGGTTTAGGGTTTAGGGTTTAGGGGTTAGGGGTTTAGGGGTTTAGGGTTTAGGGTTTAGGGTCAGGGTTTAGGGCTTGGGGCTAAGGTCCCAGGGCTTGGCGGTTTTTGGGGTATAGGGTTTCGGGTGTAGGGGTTTAGGGCTGAGGGAGACAGGCTTCTAGAAGTTCAAGCCCTGTTTAGTTGGTGAGTCTCTTGTTCAGATCTCCCACACTGGAGGGATGCGGGACATCAGGGATGTAGGAGCTGGCTGAGCCAACCTTTGACATGGCACACAAGGCCGGCAAAAGAATACATCAGGACGGTTTTGGGTTTAGGGTTTAGGGTTTAGGGTTTAGGGTTTAGGGTTTAGGGTTTAGGGTTTAGGGTTTAGGGTTTAGGGTTTAGGGTTTAGGGGACTAAACCCTATTGTAGGGTCTTGAAGGGAGGGGAGGTTCATGGGGGGTAGGTACTTGGGGAACCTTACAAAAATTTCCCTCCTCTCAAGAACCCTATAACCGTACTGCGCCCTAAACTCACACACCCAAGTCGTCACTATCAAGCCGAAACAGCACAAACGGCTCGACTTGTCGTAGGGACAAGGGCTCACCGCCTCAAACCACCCTTGAGACTGGGTTTCCGTCATTTTTCACATCCCCAATCGGTCGAACAAACCTGGACTCCCCCAGACCCTCAGTCTGACCGACCCCCAAAATTATACCCCCACCCCGAAAAGAAAGGTTTAGGGTTTAGGGTTTAGGGTTTAGGGTTTAGGGTTTAGGGTTTAGGGTTTAGGGTTTAGGGTTTAGGGTTTAGGGTTTAGGGTTTAGGGTTTAGGGTTTGGTTCTTGAGTTCCTAGGGGGCTTGAACAGGCTTTAGTACACTATGCAGAAAATCAATCCTACTACGTAGGTCGTGGAGCTACCAGGAGCCCAACAATTAGGTAATTCAGGGTCTTGGGTTTAGGTTTTTCAGGTTTAGCGTGCTCTCCACTCTCAACATGTTTGTGCCCGAAAACTGGATCTAGAGTTGGGGCTGTTGGGCTTGGGGGTTGCAGTCAAGGATTTGGCGGCCATAGACTCAATTCGTTTTCAAACGCTTTCAACAATCAAGACTTTTCTGGGCCCCTTGCAAAGACATAAGAAAGAATAGATGTATACTGTACGTGTGTGTGTGTGTGTGTGTGTGTGTGTGGGTGGTCTCTGCCTCTGCCTCTGCCTCTGCCTGGGGATGGGGGTAGGGGTTGGGGGTGGGGGTTGGGGGTGAGCCTGGGCGTGGGCGTTGGCATTGAATTCATGTTTACTTGCCAAATCGGTCCAAAAAAAACCGAGCCCCATAAACCCCGAGGCCCTGAGCCCTAAACCCTAAAACCTAAACCCTAAACCCTAAACAGCCAACCTTCTTGGCCCACTCTGGTACAACGCGGTGTCGACCTTTGTGCCTCGGGCGGAGTGCGAGGGGAGGGGCAGGATTTAGGGTCTTTACGCAGTGTTGGGCTGGGGGTGGTTTAGGGTTTAGGGTTTAGGCTTTAGGGTTTAGGGTTTAGGGTTTAGGGTTCAGAGTTTAGGGTTTAAGGTTTAGGGTTTAGGGTTTAGGGTTATTTAGGGGATTCGGGTTTAGGGTATGAGGCTTGGGCAACCCTATATTCTGTCTCCTGCGAAAACCTGGGGTGTCCTCCCGAACCAATCTAGCGACAGAATCGCAGATATGCGAGTGAACCCTAAACCCTACACTGTCACACCTAAACGACCTTCGTTGATCTGCGTCATATCCCAAACCTGAACCCCGCCGAAACTGTCAGCCTTGATCGGTAACATGAGCTACCTGGAAGGTGCGCCAGAGTGCGTGTGCTTCGTCAAAGACTTCTTCTACTGTCCTAGAGACCATAGCAGGGACGTAGGTCATCCGGGCTTAGGGTTTAGGGTTTCTGCGGGCAGTGGCCAGCGTTTTGCCAACGTCAGACGTTCTAGAATGAGACCTTTCGTACTGTTGTTGATTGCTAGCGCGACCCTGCACCCTAAATCCTAAACCCTATATGTAGGGGCCCCCTAGTTATAAGTAAGGTTATAAGGGCCCTAAATTGGCTCATATGTCCTATTGTTTAGGTTATAATTTCCTTAAGTATAGCTAGACCCGAACCCAAAAACCCTAAACCAGGATACCAAAAACATACTTCACATGCCCTAAACCCGAAACCTAAACCCTATGTAACCCTGAACCCTAAACTCTAAACCCGTGATGTGGTGCGATGCGGCTCCGCTCAGCAGCTGACTTTTGGCACCACACACTGTCGTAACGTGACCGTTGCCTGCTTTTGCAGCGGGGGTCTAGGGTGTGGGTCCTACGGTTTAGGGCTTAGGGCTGAAAGGGTTTAGAGTTTATAGGGTTTAGGGTTTGGGGATTTAGGTTTAGGGCTTAAAGGATTTAGGGATTAGGGTGTCGGGTTGAGGGGCGAGGGTGGGGCATCAGCATGTGACTCATCGATACAGATCGCCACCTCTCGCAACAAGTACCTCGACTACCAAATTAATTGCCGAGTTCTTCGGGGCAAAATGAAATAAGTCGGGTAAAGTAGCAGAACCAAGAAGAAAGGCTACCAACCTCCGTGACGACCATCCTGGAAATTGAACAACCTCAACGATGCAGCATCAGTGTTCCGGGATAGTGACATGTCGGGAAGGTTGGGGGAAACCCTGCATGAAGGTGAACGCAGCATGCGACGCAACATACGACAAGAATCCTTGCACAAGTCTGCACTGCAGTCAGGATGGGACACCCAGCCGCCCACAGCTAGCAGGGATGGGCTTTAGGCTTTATGACCCTGGACCCCTGAACCCTGAACACAAAATCCCGAACCCCCGCCCCCACCCGGTCTGAGAACTCGGCTGACTGTCTGACAACACCTCATGGGCCTCGCGCACCAAACCCTACAAGGGTGTGTTTAGCCCTACAAGTCTGAACCCTATTCATGGCGTTTTTGTCGCCTGAACCCTGTAAAACCCAAAGTCCTGTGCCACATGCTTCCATGAAGGTAAGGGTGCTACATGGTTCGAAGTGCGTGGTGGCGTCCTTATACAAAACTACCTGCATGACTGCTGACAGTTGTCAAAGACGAGCAGAAGCGAGGGCAGTTGAGCACAGGAATTGTTTTTGCGAGTTGCAAGTTACACAGGCTCCGAGGTCTTTCACGCAAGCATACCATGGTCGGAGACCGCAATCTGCAAAAAGCACCTGCGGGTTCCCTAAAACCAAGACCCTAAACTCTGTGCGTAGTTTTTGTGTTTTGAGCCCTAACAACCCTATAAACACTGAACAAAGGAGTCCACAGCACTTAAAAGCGCGCGGGCCTTGTTAATCTGCTGGAAGATGTCTGTGGCACGGGTCCTTCGCGGCCAAGGGTTTCAGGGTTTAGGGTTTAGGGTTACCGGGTCTACGGGTTCAGGGGTTTAGGGATTTAGGGTTTAGGGTTTAGTTCCTTTGGGTCGAGGGCTTAGGGTTCAGAGCAAAGCGCTTCGAGCTCCACAGCGGCAAGTGGTGACACAAGAGGATACATCTATTCGGAGCCTTAGGGGTACCTGAAACTCAAGGGCTTCGGGTTTAGAATGAGGACTTATACCCCTAGGAACCTTACATGTTCAGAGCTAAGGGCTGAGGGCTTAAGGTTTAGGATCGTTAAAAAGCCTTAGAGCTTGTAACCCTAAACCCTTAAACCCTTAAACCCTAAACCCTGAGCCCTAAACCCTAAACCCTAAACCTCCAAACCCCCAGCATGCAGACTGGTCCCCGTGTCCTGTCGGGACCTTCTCGATGTTTATCGGGATGCCACCTCAGCTGCTTGGGCTACTCGGGACATCTGTACGATTGTCAGTACAGTTTCCACCATGCCAGAAAAAATGCGAGCCTCCAATTACGATCCCGCAAAGCAGGGCACAAAGCAAAGAACGTACTCGTAAGCCCTAGGCACGCTAAACCCCATTCCCCCTGTATTCAAGCCAACCCGATCCTCAATTGGAAGCCATGCGCTTCGGACGCAGGTACGCGACCTAAGATTTTATCTCTTCACCCTACGCCCCGAAATTACCCAACTAATTAGTGGAGGTGCGGGGGGGGGGAATCCACCGAGATCGCAGCTTCTTGCAATCTAGCGATAACCAGAAAGCGCAACCCTAAGCCCTGAACCCTAAACCCTGAACCTGAGCCCTCCCTATACACCATATTCGTCAGCGCGCTGCGGAGAGATCCACGATACCCCAAATCTACTATAATCCTCTGTAAGAACCCCCCCCCCCCAACATAATATAGGGGTCGACATAATTACAAGCAGTTTTCCTTATGGTTACTATAAAGTTATGGCTATAATAGCCCCCCCCCCCCCCCCCAAAAAAAACCCTATTCACGCGTTCTTAGGGCGCCTGTATACAGTAGGCAACTCGACTTTTGGCAAACCCCCCTGTCTGGCTGAGACTCGCACTGTAAGGCCAACTGTCGGAAGTGCCTCTTGACCTCCGAAGTCTGGGGATATGCTTATTTTTTATGGGTAGTTCTCAACATTCTAGGGGCCGCCTTTGGGATAGAATTTAGCACCCATTACAGACTTGTGATTGTTGTTTTTGTTTTCTGTTTTTTTTTGTTGGGGGGGGGGGGGGAAGTGCCCTACACGGGCAGAGGATTCAAGTGCCTGGTGCATGGCACCAAGGCCTTCTAACTCTAAGCACACAGTTTAGGGCTTAGGGTTTAGGGTTTAGGGTGTAGGGTTCAAGGCTCATCTCCCACACCCTCAACTCTAGACTAGAAAGCTGGGATCATCGGAAGACTCGCTGGTGCATTTAGGGGGGCTTCGGGGCTTAGGGTTCGAGGGCTGAGGATGCAGAGTAATACGGCTTGCTTCTTATAAGCAGCTGGCGCCACACTCCTGCACTTGGAATGATGCTCTTTTCAAACCCTCTAAAAAACAAATGGGGGTTTACGATATTCGGGGTACCTTATTGCGGTCCTTATTGTAAGGGAATCCTACTATTTGGGGGGTCTGTTTAGGGGTCCCCTATTTTCGTAATCCCCCAAGTGCTGCTGCAACCTAAGCCCCATAAACCCTAAACCTTCCATAAGCACGACTACTGCACCTCGGCTTCGCTGGCTCCAGAATCGAGGTTGAGGTAGGCGTAGTAGTCATTCGCCTAGCTAGGACAGTCGGTCCAAAGCAGTCCTTTTCCCCCAACCTCAGGACGCAGGGCTCAGGGGCTAACAGTGGTCAGGGCCCAAACCCTATACACACGAATACGGATACAACGACTTGAGCCTTTTTTCAACTGCAAACCCTACATCCTACACTTTTCACCTTCAACCCTCAACCCCAAACCTGCACCCCCGCCCCTTCCCCTGAAAAAAAATCTTCAGATGCAGGTTTCCCTATGCAGCCGAGAGATCTGTGCATCCTCTGAAGCTAGTTAGGGCGCCTCCGTTTGTAACGCAGCACCATGACAAGTTCACCGGGGTATATTGTTTAGGGTTTAGGGTTTAGGGTATAAGGGGTATAGGGTATGTGAGGCTCTACGTACCCTGCATCGGTCAGAGTGATGACAGTTCTGAGGTGCCACCTACTTGGAGGCGCGCGGGTACTAAAAAGTAAGGTTCTAAGTAGGGTAACTCTGGTGATAACCTATTTTAGTGTGCTTATAACCCTACTTACAAGTACCCATGAAACGTCATGTAAACCCTAAACCCGCTCTTTCACATATATACTTCAACTTTAATGGGGGCCGTGGCCATTGACCAAAAAACTGTGGCCATTGGAAAAAAAAGCCGTGGCCACTGGCAGAAAGCCGTGGCCATTGGCAAACTCGCCAATGGCCACGGGAAAGTTGCCAATGGCCGAGCAGAATCGAGCAAAGAGAACACATACGATCAGAATGAATACGAGCGGAGAGAGAACGAATACCAGCGGAATGAATACGTGCGGAGAGAGAACGACTACGAGCAGAAGGAGAACAAATACGAGCAGAATGAATATGAGCAGAAAGAGAACGAATACGAGCAGAATGAACAAAATGAGGTTGGGGGACAGGGCTTGCTGATGAACAAATAGAAACTTTGTATCTATTAATATTTTTGGATTCTTTGGGTGGGTTTTTTCCTCTAATCAAAACAACGGCTCTACTAGAGATTGCTCGACCCGGAGCTGCTGAACCCTGAACCCTAAACCTTAAATCTTAAACCCTAAACCCTAAACCCTAAACCCTAAATCCTAAACCCTAAACCCTAAACCCTAAACCCTAAACCCTAAACCCTAAATCCTAGACCTCAATTCCTGCTTGCCCAGGAGCCCTTGAGTTGGGGATAAGGGGGCGCTTTTGAAAGAAAGGCCCCTGCAGGAATTGGGAGCCACATTCGGAGTTTGTCCCATGCGGTTTAGGGTTTAGGGTTTAGGGCTTAGGGTTTAAGTTTGAGGGTTGAGGGTTGAGGGTTGAGGGTTGAGGGTTGAGGGTTGAGGGTTGAGGGTTGAGGGTTTAGGGTTTAGGGTTTAGGGTTTAATTGTCAAACCAAGTCAAAGCACAAGATAAGCCTGAAACACCGAAAGCAAAAGCCAAACACAAGCTCTGGAAGCCCTGAACGCCAACCCCCAAACCCGACACCCCAAACCCATAACCCAAATCCGAAACCCGAAACCCTAAACCCCACACCCTAAACCCCAAACTTCACACCCTAAACCCCAAACCCAAAACCCCAAACTCCACACCCTAAACCCCAAACCCTTATAAACCTGAAAACCTAGACCCTAAACCCTAAACCCCAAGCCCCAAACCCTAAACCCCAAACCCTAAACCCTAAACCCTAAGCCCACCTCGAAGTCCAGCCGCTCTTGGCGTTTGGAGGCCATGGCCGCGCTCGCGTTGGCCGGGCCATCCCGGGGGTTTAGGGTTTAGGGTTTAGGGTTTAGGGTTTAGGGTTTGGGGTTTAGGGTTTAGGGTTTAGGGTTTAGGGTTTAGGGTTGAGGGTTTAGGGTGTAGGGTTTCGGATTTAGGGTGTAGGGTTTAGGGCCTAGGGTGCAGGGTTCATAGGGTTTAGAGTTACAGGGTTACAGGGCTACCCTCAGGGTTTCAGGGTTGTTTTTTGGATTTGTGGTTTATGGGCTTTATAGGGTCCTTACGGGAGGGAAGTTCAAGGGGGGTTTGGGGTTTAGGAGTTAAGGGTGTCCAATTTCTGGTGCTAGGCTTTACCCTAAACCCTAAGCCCCAGATTTCCTTGGCCCACAAGCAAATTGAAGGGCTTGAGCCGGGGAAGAATGGATTGGGTTTCAGGGTGTCGGCGGGGGAGGGTCGCCCTTAAGTCTATCCCACATGCGCCCTACCCGAAAACGATACATGATAAAGGGTTTAGGGTTAAGGGTTTAGGGTTTAGGGTTGCGGGAACATACAAGAAGAACCAGATAAGAGCCCTATGACGGACCTTGCTCACCGGGGTTCTGAACCAGTTCCTTCCAAACACAGCAGCATGGCGCGCGGGTGCTGACTTTTCGGCATGGTGAACGGTCGCTGCCATCCAACTCATCTGTTGTGAGATGCGGGTATCTGACATCATTTGTGAACATCTGAGAAGCCACTACTAAGGTTCTAGATCCCCTAGCAACTGGAGAAATAGCGCGCAACTGGTGTCATGGAGGTTCGGACTTCGGTCTTTTGCGTAGATACACATGGCCGGGCGCTTGCCTGACACTTACTGTTGGTCAGCAGGGAATGAGGGAATGCGGGCCCTATTTGTGCCCTTTAAGGGATTATATTAAGGGTACCTCATCCCCCGATTCCCTACTAACCAACAGCAAGTTCCATGAAGCTGTGAGCAGCACAGCAGTGAATTAGCCGCGATGGGGTGAGACATCCGTGCAACAGCAGGACAGCAGGGGGCGTGATTGGATGGGTTTAGGGTTTAGGGTTTAGGGTTTAGGGTGTAGGGTTTAGAGTATAGGGTTGAGGGCTTAGCTTAGGGAATTCCGGGAGCCCCACTCCAAGCCTGTGAGGGACCAGCTTGGGGGTGCATCTGCCGCCCACAGCCCACCTACCCAGGGTAACCGTGCAGCTTCAATTTAGGGCTGAGGTTTAGCGTTTAGAGTTTAGAGTTTAGAGTTTAGAGTTCAGGGTTAAGGGTTTAGGATTAACATGAGGATCACAAGGCTTTCCTCGATAAGGTACATCCTTAGCAGACATCGTAAGGGCTGTAGAGTTTCGAGTGCCAGTGCAAAGCTTAGGCTTGTACCCTAGAACGCTATAGTTGCCCTTACATCAGAACCCTTCAAAGGAGGCTAGGGACCATATAAAGGGCCCATGATACTACGCTTGCCTCAGAAGAAACCCCAAACCCTAACACCCTAACCCTAGCACCCTAAACCCTAAACCCTAAACCCAAAACCCTAAACCCTAAACCCCCTGAACAAAGTCGTGGTCAGCCCCCTTCCTCTCCTAAGGTCCCTCGTGCACGACGTCGGCGATGCGCAGCCACAGCTGTCCCTGCGGCACTAGGTCGACCTGGGACACTAAGCCATTTCGTGCACTTGCGTGGGCAACCCTACGCCCAAAACACACCCTAAACTCCATTTGGAACATGGTTTAAGGATGATTAGAGCTGGGATTCCCTTTAGTTTTCCTTTGGAGGTATTAGGATAGGGATGTCCCAACTTTTTTGGTGTGTACTGTACACCCTGAAAGGCCCTAAGGCCCTAGATCCTTGTAGGATTCACTTGGTCCACACGGTGAGCCCTGGAAACCGTCCGACATCACATATATTCCTGGAGAGAACATTGCTTGGCCAGCAACACGGAATAAAGCCGGAATCCTCAAGCCCCAACCCTAAACTCTTCACATGTGGATCGTTCTCTACATGAGTGTTCCTTTTGGGGTCCTCATGTTAAGGCCGAAGGGGGCCGTACTAGATAGGGACCCCCCCCCCAAAAAAAAAACAAGGCCCTAATTTAGAGAAACTACCCATGTGCTAAACCCTGAACCCTAAACCCTTATGATAGGCTTGGCAGTCGATCTCGAGAGTCGGTCAGGGTCGTTTCGGCGTCGGGTGTGGAGCACGCCATGAAACGAGGGCGCCATGTAACAAACACGCGCATGTCCTATGTGGTGGAGGGCTTAGGGTAGTTTAGGGTTTAGGGTTTAGGGTTTAGGGTTTAGGGTTTAGGGTTTAGGGTTTAGAGAGTCTAAGGCGTCCTCCCACCACCACTCTAAGGGGTGTGGATGGCCCTGTAGTGGGGGTTTTAGGGCCTTTAAGGTTTCGGGTTTACGGCTCAGCCGCCGGGTCACGACCCTAGGCCCAAAACCTTATAATTAAACCCTAAAGCAAAAAACCCTAGGCCCTAAACCTTATGATTAAACCCTAAACCTTTTAAACCCTAAAGCAAAACAAATTGATTAGGGTTTACGGTTTAGGGTTTAGGGTTTAGGGTTTAGGGTTTAGGGTTGAGGGTTTAGGGTTTAGGGGGGTTTAGGGTGTATGGCTTAGGGCTTCGGGTGTAGGGTTTGGGGTTTAGGTCAACCCTCAAGCCTTACTAGTACAGGATAGAGCCCATACGTCAGCCCTGCAACACCGCAAAACCAAGCACCGCTCAAAAAAAACCCACGTCATGCCTCAACCCGAAACTCTCGACAAAAATCCTCAGTTCAAACCTGCGGCCCTAAACTTTGGGATGTTCCTTGTTAGACGAACAGTCCCGAATAGGGATTAATTATAGTAACCCCCTCCCCCCCCCCATTCGAATCCCTATTCGGACTGGTAGTATGAGGGGGAACATCCCAACGTAAACCCTAAACCCTAAACCCTAAGCCCTAAACCCTAAACCCTAAACCCTAAACCCTAAACCACTAAAAACCTTTCAAACTCGAAGCCCAGATGGTGTGCCTTCAAGAAGTTGTCCGCATTGTACATGACGCCCGTGCCAATTTGCGAACGAGCCGTCGATACCTACAATGCTGCTATGGCGAAGTGGGGTTTAGGGTTTAGGGTTTAGGGTTTAGGGTTAGGGTTTAGGGTTTAGGGTTTAGGGTTAGGGTTTTGGGTTCAGAGTTCAGGGTTCAGGGTTTAGGGTTTAGGGGCATGGGGGCATGGGGTGCCCGCTGTACTTAACAAACGTACGTTAGTAGCCCACTATCCAAATATTGCAATAAGGGCACCCTTTGTCTAACTTGGTGACTTTATAAGGGAACCCAGACCTGACAAAAAAAAGGGAAAGGGTGCCACTAGGCTACCAAGGTACTTCTTTTGAGGGTTACATTAGGGAAGTGACGAACTTGGTATCCTAGACGTGACTCTGCCCCTCGGCAGCTTCAGCCGTCAGATGCTCGAAAGGTTTCCAAGATTTACTAGGACGGCCCTTACAACCCTCTGACAAGATTCCTGAATATGATCCTCTTGAACCCAATAAGGGAAAACAACAAAGAAACTCAAGAGGCTACCTAGGTCAAAAGGGGCTCAGCCAGAACTGCAGAACGCCATACAGTCTATGCAGAGCGTTCTGCTCGCACTCATAAGTGCTTTCGGGAAGGCTTGGGCAACAACTATAGAAAAGTCTCATTGCAATCTATAAGTTCGCGATCACGTGGTGCAGGACATAGAATGCAGCAGGTGGTTCTGCAGCGTTGGAGAAGTCCCAAATCACGGAGGGTTGAACAAATAGGGGTTTAGGTGCGCACGACTCAGCGCCTGTTGCAACGAAAAAACTGAAACATTGCGATTTCAGGCACGTGCCACGCGGACACGAAACCCGAAACCCGAAACCCCCAACCCTAAACCCTAAACCCTGATTGCACCCCAAACCCCATACCCCAAACCCCAAGCCCCCAAACCCCAAGCCCCAAAATCCCAAACCCCAAACCCTAATTGAACCCTAAACCCTAAACCCTAAACCCCAAACCCTAACCCTAAACCCCAAACCCTGGGCCCGAAACCCTAAACCCGCAGTGCTGCAAGCCCAAACCCTAAACCCCAAACCTCAAAGACTAAACCCCAAACCCCGAACCCTAACCCCGAAGAGCTGCAAGCCCAAACCCTAAACCCCAAACCTCAAACGCTAAACCCCAAGCCCCGAACCCTAAACCCGAAGTGCTGCAGCCGTTACATGCTCTACCCAAAGGCTCCAATGTAGGGCCTTTTTGGGTTAGTTATAGGGAATACTAGTATACTACCCCAAAAAAGGTACTACATAGGAGCCTTTGGGTAAGGCCCGACCTCCACCCCGTCGCTGACGCTCCGAAGGCGGTTCACCATGGCCGATGACAGGTCTGCACGTGCCACCTGCCAGCAACCACTTGAGGGTTTAGGGTTTAGGGTTGAGGGTTAAGGGTTGAGGGTTGAGGTTTAGGGTTGAGGGTGTAGGGGTGTAACTTAGGAAGAAAAAGGGTGCCCTTTTTGGTTTGAAGGGGGCTGGAAGGGAACCCCAACCCTAAAAAAAACAAATAAGGGCCTACTCCGGGTCCTAGGCCAGCAACTTCGCGCAGCTTAGGGTTTAATTTAGGGAATTGGGGATTTAGGGTTAAGGATCTAAGAGTTTAGGGTGTTTAGGGTGTTCAGGGTTTAGGGAAGGATTTAAGAGTTTAGAGTTTAGGGTTTACGGCTTAGGGTTTAGGGTTTCGGGTTTAGGGTCGAGAATGCCCAAGATGTTCTCAACCCCTCTAGCCTCTACGCGAACGCCCTAAACCCGATAAACCCTAAACCTGGACCGTAAACCCTACACCCCAAACCCTTCAACCCAGGGTCCTCAAAATCCGAATTACCATAAGTTCTCACACCTACCAGCCCGCACCCCTCTACTCTTAACCCGGCGTAGGGTCTAGGGTTTAGGGGTTTGAGGTTTAGGGCTTAGGGTTTAAGGTTTCGGGTTTAGGC